CCACACTAATAATTTATTTTTAAATCCCTCCCTTTTTTTCCCCCTCTATTTTTTTGGTTTGTTTTTAATAATTTTTCAGTTCCCTTGTCTCCGCCACAGGGGTGTTGGGCTAGCCCAGGGGGGATTCCAGCCCCAATTCCATGGCCAGTTTGGAGTCTTCCCAGCAAAAGTGCCCAGAGCCCAGCACAAGGTGGAAGAGCTGGAACCAAACCCCATTAATCTGCCTGCAAAACGCTGTGCCAATACTTCACTGAACAGTAAATCCACACAAAGCACAGCAGAAAGCAGGAGGCAGGTGGCAGCGAGGATGAGTAAGAAAATTGAGATTCTCTTAGTCAGGATCCAGCCTGGAAAAGTGAAGGCTCCAGGGTGACCTAATTGTGGCCTGAAGTGGGTCTACAAGAAACGTGGAGAGAGACTATTTACTCCTTGATGCTGCAATTGCCTCAACTTAAATCCTGAGAAGAAATTACATCTTGGAATTGTACAGTAAAACTACTTTTGGGGGGTATCTTTGTGCAGAATATATATTTTAGATGTGATGGAAAAACATTCATTTAGGGTACAGGATTGTTACGGGGCAGCCTGACACATGACAGCATCCAGGGCTGCTCTTTATGGAATCTGTGGGAGGGAAAATCCTGGTAAAGCCACAGTAGGTTAAATCAAATGATTTTTTAATAAGTTCTTAAATAAATCAAACTTCGCATCTAAAAACACACTTTGCAAGCTTCCTTTTACCCAGGGGGAATGACTGGTAAAAGCTTTGGAGAATCCCTGCAGGTGATTGTGGGATCTGAACAAAAATACCTCAGTACAATGGTAAAACTGCTCTTGGTGCTTGGGGGGGGTGGGTTCTGAGGGCCAGCCCCAGCACGAGCCAGCCCTGAGCAGGGGATTTTCATCTCACTCCATCTAGAAACACCATGGCTTATCTGGGGAGGCTTTTTGTCCAGGTTACCCAGCTTACCTGAGCAGGTACAGGCATTTCTCAGCACAACCCTCATGGCAACAACAGCTAGGGAAGCCCTGGCTTGTGAGGGTCATGATTTGGGTCCTGCTCCTCTGCTATTGGAGTAGCTGAAATGAGGGCACAGACAGGTGTCCCCAAATCCCCTGGGTTGTTGTAGCTCATTGCCAGCACTCAGCTCCATCACTGCTTGCACTCGTAGCGTCATTTATTGTGACCCTGATTTGCTTCCATTTTTCCCACAAAAAGGGACGTTTTGCAATTTCTTGTCTGCACATTGGCTTGGAAGGAGCCAAGTCCAGGGTGGTCTTGGCCTCTCTGGAGCTGCTCCTGTGGCGAACCAGCCCCGGGGCTGCCTCTGGCACTGGAACAGGCCCCGAGGCTGCCAGAGCTCAAGAAGTGTTTGGACAACACTCTCAGACACATGGTGGGATTGTTGGGGTGACTCATGCAGGGACAGGAGCTGCACTCGATGATCCTTGGGGGTCCCTTCGAGCTCAGGATATTCCATGGTTCATTCCTCCTGCAGTTTTCCTGGAGCAGTGTCTGACCAGCCTTGTGACACTTTGTTCCACCTGCTGACACTGAGTCACCTGGTGTCCACGGGCAGAACTGGCTCCCTTCCTTACTGAAGAGTAGCAGCAAAACTGGAGTATTTTGGAGTGTGACATAACCAATATCCATCACAATTTTTTTTATAAGTCCAGGAGACGAAATGTCTCCTGGTTTGTTCTCTCTCCACATTCTCCTCTGTACAGCCTCTGCTATCCAGCCTCTTTTAAACCCATGGAGAGCTGACCTAAGAGAAGCAAGCAGCAGAGTCAAACAGAAACCTCCGTTCTCCCAGCAGTCATCCTTCAACTCCCTGCCCTCTCACTCCCCTTCTGTGGAGGCATTTCCTCCCTGTGGGAGGGAATTCAGCACTCACTCTCCACAAAGCACCAGCCAGACTGATGGAAAGGGAATTCGGAAGGACTTGCTGGGTGTCAGTCAACCTTTCCAAAGCACAAATGTTCCTGAGTGGTGAATTTCAGGGAGACTGCCCCTTGTACGTGGTAAAAATGTGTTTCCAGGTGCAGAGGGATGAAGATAAAATTTGTTTTAGGGAGGGAAATTTGCCCTTGATTTCTCTTTGCAGGTCAACGAATTGTCTTGGGAACAGTTGGAGCTCAAAGAAGTTTTGTCTGATCTCAGTTTTGATGATGCCACTGAATTAGAGCAGCTCTGTCTTCACATCGTTTCCAAAAGTTTTGCAGTGTTTGATTAGGGATGAAATTTGAACTCCATGAGACGCCACGTGCGTCATAAACAACATTTGCTTTTCTTCCAGATATGTAACAATGAAAGAAATGAGCAATAAACCTAATGCTGCTAAAATTAAGACCCCAAATATATGCTGGCTTTGGAGAAAAATTGTTTTCCTGTCAACTTATTGAGGTCATCTATATCTGGAACCAGTGGAGCTGCACGAGTATTTAGACAGAATAGCAGGTGTGTGTAGCAATCCCAGAACAACAAAAGGAACGAGCCCTCCCTGCAGGAACCCACATACGGCTCAGAGTCGCTCGAATCCATGGGAAAAAGCTGGAAGTGGAAGGCATCTTACCAGCAGGAGTAGCTGTGGGACTGACAGTCTTTTGCACAAGCACAGGAAAAGTATTTCTCTAAGTGAAAATTGTTTTAAAGAAATAAGCCTAAGTCTTGTAGTAATGTGTTGAGACTTTCATGCCAAGTGAGCCAGAGGTGTTGAACCCCAACTATAAGTAATTGGAGCATTATCATTATGTAAAACAAAGAATCTTTTTCATTTCAAACATGTTTTTCATTAAAATATATAAAATTCTGTACCGTGGTGTGACGAATGAAACTCAGAGGCGGACAAGCAATGGGAAGGGGCACCAAGCTCACCAAATCATGAGGCTGAGGGGCTGGGGGGTGTGTATTTGATAACAAATGCCTTGGAGCTGGTGCTTCCTCCTTATCTTTGTGCTGTCCAAAAACTGAGTTGTCAGAGTGGGGTTTAACCCACCAGCTCCATCCCAGGGGTTCAGAGCTTGCCAGTTCAAATGGGAGTCCTGCTGCTGGCACTGGACACCCGAGCACAGCCTCCCTCCCACACACACACGGAAACAGCCACACACACACACAGGCGCTTCCCCCGTCTCACAGGACACTCTGGCTGCAGAAAACGGGATTTATTGGGAAAGCATTCCCAAATG